GCGCATACGTACATCCCTGCGCAGACGTAATTGCTGGCATCGGAGGTGTCAGCATAGGCTATGACGAAGCAGGTGAGTTAAACCCTGCTAAGTTTGGCCCGGGCACAGCAACTTCTGGCATCACAGCAACAACCGTGTGTGACAGCGAACACCTGGTACGTCATGTGACCATTACGAAGGATGATATAGGGGTAACGCTAGAAGCCGACAACGGTCTAATCCGGTGGGATGAAGACACCGAGCAGTGGCGCTGGAAGGACGGACGGACAAGCGCCAACCTGGCCGATCGGCTCAGTCATTTGCCAGTGCGCACACAGAGCTCTGTTCGATGGTCAACAGGCTCGTGGGTAGATAAGGGTTGCTTGATGAGGCCACCCACAGATGCTTTGGAGCCTTCATTCCACTATTTACGAAGAGCCAGACACGCAAGGCTAGCACTCCGGTACGTCCGTGCCTAGACAACCAAGGCCTGAATAACCTGATCCAGTCCAGGCCCAGTACGGATGCGCCCGCATGTGCGGAGAAGATCCGTTAATGGCGGAAAGTCGGAGAGCAGTATGAGCTCGTCGACATAAACCAGGCTTACCTGCAAGTGCACGTCGATCCTGCTTTTCAATGCTACCAGGCAGTCGTGACAAGCTGTCCGTGATGACGCGAGTGTGCCTTGGGCTAGCAATTGCCCAGAAAGTTATGTTACACAGCCTTGGCCTGAGGTGGACAATTTTGTTGATGATGTGCTGACGCCAGCATCGACACGAGAAGCAGTAGCTGCTGAACTGGCGCGCTACAGCCTGCCCACAAAGCCACAAGAGCTACTGTCTACTGCATGAGTCTTTGCATTGCAGCTGTCGACATCTGCTACCAGCGCCAGATGGTTGAGGCGAGATGGCATACATCTTGCATTTGAGTGTCCCCTGACAAAGCGAAGCGCCTTCCAGTGGACTGTACGACTGACCTGTCACTACCTAGTATGCGCCTAGCCCTAACCTGTTTGTTCGTACTAGAAGCATATGGCAAGCACAACAACTGGGAAGGATGATCCAGTTCTGTAAGGCAATGTACGGTGTACCGAGGAAGTAGTTGAGCATCTGGCATGTGGTGACCCTGCGCGTGGAGTTTGGCGTGTGCCATCAACGTCTGACGGCAACTGGGCAGTCTACTGCGACGCGTCTGACCTGGCAACTGGTGTTGTGCTGAAACGCAATGGACACATCATTGAGGATGGGAAGTTGCTACGTGATGCAGACGACAGGAAACACATCAGCAAGCAGAACTCAACGTCGGAATGCGTGGTCTGTCACTGGCTGTTGAGTGAGGTATGGAATCAATGCAGCTCATTACCGACTCCAAGGCTGTATTTGGATTGCTATGTGAAATTATCGAGAATGTATGCCGTGTTCGCGTAGTAGGCCTCCATAAGGTGCTCATACAACATCAATTACAAGTGGCACATGACCTGATGGAGACCGGACGACTAAACTGCACCCAACGCTAGCGCAGTTGACGATGCAACGGGACAAGCCATCACGCACAAAAAAGTACAGCATGCCCAGAGAGCATCTCCCAAGCCTATGCCTGTACTGTCGACCATCTAGCTAGGCAAACAAGTCGAGGTAAAACCATTCCACAGGATCAGAGACCAGCTTGTTATGGATGATGCAGAGTTATCTCGCAGTTTTAGGCTCCCGGCAGTTGGGAATATGACCGTGCTGATCATCCCAGGATCCCTGATACCACATGTAGTGGAAGAAGCGCATCGGATGCCCGAGCACGGTAGCTGGACAGTGATGTACGAAATGTTGCGCGGCATCTGCTACTTTCCCGGTATGAACTTACGCTGCCAAGAACTTTTCCATTACTGGGAAGCGTGCTGTGCAGCAAATGGACGCGGTGGAGCGACGGTGCCACCTACTGACCCAGATATCCCCCGTCGCCCTTCGAGTGTGCTGCAAGTGGACACACTAGAGCCAACAATACCACTGTGCACTCGTGTGAGCTGATGTATTTAGCAAGCGGTTCGATGTAAAGCCACTACGCGACACGTTGCTGCTAGGCTTGCAGGAGCGCTGCAAGACTAGTATCTGCTACAGGTGGGGTCCGCCCGACAAGACTAGAATGGACAACGGGACGGAGTTCCAGAATACTCTTGTCCAGGCCCTCCTCACCCAGTTCGGCGTGCATGTGAAGACGGAAGCAGTTCATCACCCACCGTCACAAGGCGGCATGGAGCACATGAATCGGACTCTCATAACGCTGATATGGAAAGTACTAGATAAAGTATCGGACTGGAGGAGGGCGCTGGACCTCCTGCTGTTCTACTACTGTTCCCCGTCGTATTCTTCGACAACAGTGTTGCCTATGCGCGCGATGTGAGCCTGGAAACCCCGGTCATTAGTTCTGGAAGTGTGCCTGTCCGCCCCTGTGGTGAGCGAGTGGGTTAACAAGCTGAATGGATAGGATGTCCAAGTACGCGATGTTGTGGAGAGAGAGTTGTCTGCATCGAGCCCTTCACAACCACGCAGCAGCAAACAGTAAGCCTACATTCTCGGTGATGTAGTACTGTTCCTACGCCCCCGGTGTCACCAGAAGCTGCTCCCGCCATTTGAGCCTGGCTGGAAAGTGGAGAAGAGTGTGTCACCATCAACCGTTGTGATCAGCCATGTCAATGGTGCAGAGACAGTGGTCAACATTGACTGCTGAAGCTAGACTGAGCTCCTGTATTACCGAACACTGAGGATGTAAAGGGAGGGGTGACTTGAATTGCCTTACATTACTACTGATGTCCACAGCGCTTAGCCGAGTCCTGCCAAGAGTGACAGTGATAGTGACGCTAGTGATAGTAAAGCCGTCACCCTGGAATTTGATGGCGGAGACATTGACTTGGTCCCACCCTATGATCTCCATGCCCCAGCTATCCGTCGATGCCCAATGCGATACTGTTCCTGATTAGTGGCGTCTAGAGGGAGAGGTGTAATAGGTTGGCCAAGTAACTGTCAACGCCATCTCATCTCTCTCTCTCTTTCTCTCTCTCTCTCTCTTTCCCTCTCTCTCTATTCCTTTCTTGATAACAAACATATTTGCGGTTGATCACTACGTGTCAATTCTTCTTGAGCTTTGTATTAATAATTCGCACTGTGTTCGTGACAGTATTCCATTTTCCAGTACTCTTGTGCGTGCACACGATGACGTAGGTCGCCATTTTGTACGTGTCATCTCGGTGCGCAAGCCTTTATCCTTCTTTTCTAGCTCTTTTAGTTTTAGTCTTTCTTGTACAAAAGCAAGTAACTAGTCCAATGTCGAGTGGGCTGTGATCGAGTGTTGCATGTTGGCCAGTGTTGACGGGGTAGTTCACAACAACACCAACCATAATAACATTGTTCTTGCATTTGACTGACTACTTACTTTCACTTTCTTTTTTATCGTATGCCATTCATGCAATGTCAACATAACTGTTTGCTTCTAGCTCATGCTAGGTGCTCACCCCTCATTTCTCACATCACATCATCTTCCATACGGTAAATTGGAGCATTTAGCTCTGCTCCTCCTAACAGGCATTGGCCTCACTTGTTCCTGCTCATTACAAGTCAGCTATGGCTCCTCATTAACCAGCTGCTGTCCATAGCTTGGTATTTCACTTCACAACTATTGTAAGTGTATTATGGGGATTCCCGAGCTGGTTGCCGGCAGCAGTGTGGCGTTGCTTTCAAGCTTGTTGAACATTTGCATTACAATACAAGTTACTCAAAGCAGCATACTGTCTCCCAAAAAGGTCGTTATTGTCTGGGATAAGTTTGAGGGTGTGAGGTATAGGGTAAGAATTTACAAATAGCCTCGAAAATACTCCCAACCCTCTGCTGCCACTGAGAGCCAATTCATAATCTCAGAACATCTGCTTTCAATGAAAAAACGTCGCATCGACGCCACTAACCAGTTTTCTCCCCATGTGGGTTGGTAGATTGTTTTTGTTCAAGACAAGAAAGTACGCCACTTAAAAGTGAACCAAACCAAGTTTGGCTGGGACTTCTTCGTGCAGATTTACACAAACCACCATTACTGTACGGGTTACGCACAAAGACATGACTGATTGTGCTGTCCAACTATCTTACCCGCCACTGGAAAGTGTAACATTTTGCAGGTGTATAACATACCAAAGATCTCCAATCTAGTAGCGGGTTGCTTTACAGAACCACAATGGTGTTCAGTGCAATTTCACATGAAACACATACACCAAATCTCATTGAGACATTGGACTTATAAGTACTTTTGAGGTGACGCAAGGAACTCAATAGTGTTGTCTAGGCTGTTGAACAAAGTAACGGTGAGGCATCCTGCAGCTTCATAACTCGAAGAGAATTGGTGAGCACACATTTCATTACAAAAAAATAATTTTCAACGTTTCGGCAAATTGCCATCATCAGGATGCAATATGAAGTGGAAGTCTGGCCAGGAGCAGTTATATACACTAATTTGGTGTTCTTAGGTGTTGATAATATTTCTATAACTTCACATGACTGTTACCTCAGTGCTAGGAAACCTGCTCAGACATTTCTCAAGTTATCTGGTGACATCTGCGCTGTGCTAACTTATTACCAACACCCAGCTTATGAGTCAGTGAAAACTTGTGATCTTTGACTAGTTTTAGACATGTCATATTCACTGATTATATATAACTGCTCCTGGGCAGACTTCCACTGCATATTGCATCTTGATGATGGCAATTTGCCGAAACATTGATAATGATTCTTTGAAATGAAATGAGTTGCGAATATGCAGTGCCCAGGGAATCAGCATTGGTTCTCGCCAATTTTCTTCTAGGCTGTGGAAGATCGTGAAAACTGTTGTTCATCTTGGAAAACGTTTTCCAGTTGTGCATGTTATTTTTGTGCGTACAACTGATGAACATAAGACCTGGTACACATGGACAGGACTTTGTACACCTGCACAATCCTTCTTTTCTGTTCATACACTAACAAGGATGCATCAGGGATATCCTGACTTACATCAGCCTTTGGCTCCAACGAATGTCCAGAATTAAGTAGATATTCTGCTACGGAAACATGTCCACGCAATGCTGCAAAGTGTAATGGTGTGCGACCAATCTGGAAGTAGCATTGTTAATGAATGCAAACCAAGTACATACAAACACACACAACAGAACAACAAGGACAATCAAGGCTTGTTTGCTGTCCAAACACACATAAACATACACAAATACACACATACACATGCCGATTCCCACACACATAAATTAATACGCATATGCATGAAAACACACACGCACGCTCACGCGCACACACACACACACACACACACACACACACACACACACACGCACACACACACACACACACACACACACACACACACAAACACACACACACACACACACACACAACTATGCATGCGCAAAAACACACACAAACACACACACACACACAAACAAATAACAAACACAGTTAGTGGGCAAAGGTAACAAAGGCAATGGCATAGGGATTTCTGGATCATTATCAATGAAGATTTCTTTGGGAATTGATGAACAATTTCCTTGGAGACAAGAATGCAATTTTCAGAAGTATACTTTCATGCCTGTTCATCACGTGAAATACAGGCAAAATCCAATGAACAAGGCATGGCGCATGTTGTGTGTGAGTGTGTGCCCTCGTGCATGTCCACGAATGTTGAGCACACACACACAGGCGTACACACGTGTGTGCGCGCATGAGAGCATGCCGTTTACTTTGCATATGCATGCTACTGCAGGTGTGCGTATGTGACGTATTTGTGTGGGCAAGGGGTACTTGTTTTAGAGGGTGAGTATGTCACTCTCTCTCTCCCTCTCTCTCTCTCTCTCTCTCTCTCTCTCTCTCTCTCTCTCTCTCTCTCTCTCTCTCTCTCTCTCTCTCTCTCTCTCGTCTTTGCGCTTTCGTCGTACAACCACACACTCCCACCTTCAATTACAACATTGGTGTTTTCCAGGGGTGCCCCTTGTCCCCGGTCCTTTTCAATATTTGTTTCCAGCTTCTGCTGGACTCACTTGCAGCCCCTGAATTAAAGGGGAAGTTAAGGCAAAAATTAAAATTTCACCAGTTGTAGTCTTCGGGGTGCTGAGTCGAATGGTCGTGATCCGAGGAAGCTGAGACGCTCCCTTCCTACTTGAATCCCAATCGAACTCGCGCACTTCCACCGAAACTGGGTGACTGCGCCCTACTAGATGGGGATTTGTATGCAAAATGTCACTAAAAGCGCCATTTCGTTCTTATAAAAGCACGGATGACCGCGATTGGCCCATATGTTGTAGTCTTTTGGCCGCTGCGTCGACTGGTTTTGGTCCGAAAAGGCTGCGATGCAGCGTTCCTCCTTTATTCCCAATCGAACATGGTTGAACAAGTGGTCACGTGCTCCTGCGTACGCCAGTCACCTGGTCACCGTGCCTGCAGGGTACAACTTACTAGCCTGTTTGACCTTTTTTGGGTGCAGTCCTGTCACTCGAGTTGAACCTTGGTGTGAAAGTTGTCGCCTGCTGGCGTGGTAACCAGGTGATTTTGGCACCCAGGAGCACGTGACCGCTTGTTCAACCATGTTCGATTGGGAATAAAGGAGGCTCCGAAGCAGCATTCAAAACCCCCGAGGAAGGATCTCCTTCAAACACTTGAGGAGATCAACGCGCAGGAGCAGATTTTGAGGCTGAAGACTCTTCAGGTGCAAGGCAAGTGGTTGGAGTGGACATCGGTGATGTGGCAGGACCTCTCGTGGAAATCCCTTTTGTACGGTGGTACTGGTAAGGATTTGAAATTTCTTCTCGCATCAACCCTCGACGTGCTACCTTCTCCGACGAACCTACGACGTTGGGGAAACACCGTAGTGGATCCGTACTGTAGTTTGTGCCGTGCCTGGGCCTGTACTACGCGCCACGTGCTTGGTGCTTGTCGCATAGCGCTGGACCAGGGACGTTACACCTGGAGGCACGACAACGTACTCGGGGTCATCGTCAGGAACATGCGTGAGGAGATTCGAATCCGCACTGCTGCAAACACCGTACAAACCAAAAATTCAAATGAACTTGACTTCATCTCGTTTTGCAAGGCGGGAGAGAAGCCAGTTTGCGTTCAGCCCAGACGGAAGTTGGTTACGACTGATCTCCTGTCAGCGGCCTGAGACTGGAAACTTCTTGTCAACTCAGTTAGTGCAAAGATTTCTTTCCCTAGCTGTGTTGCACTTACCACCCTAAGACCAGATATAGTTCTGTACTCTACGAGTCGTAGGATTGTATTCTGGATGGAGTTGACAGTTTGTGCTGAGGACAGATTCAGTGTCAGTAACTCGCAGAAGGACAGGCGGTATGCGGATCTGGCCGATCAATGCCGAGCAAACGGGTGGCAGGTCGTTTCTTTTTCGGTTGAGGTAGGTGTGCGTGGTTTCATCCCGGACTCTCTTCGGAGGGCTCTGAAAGCGCTTGGGTTTTCTAATCGAAGAATATAATTTATTTGTAATTTGTGCAGTAAGACGTCTCTGCGAAGCAGCTACATCATCTGGTTGCGACGTCAACAAAAACACTGGTCGGAAGATCCACTTTTCTGAGGTACTGTCTGTGGGGCTCCGTTTATTGAGGTGCGTTGAAGTTTATTCTCTTTCTCTTATTATTTCTTTTCTATAATTTCCCCATATGAGTTCCTATCAGTTGATGTGAACACCTTGAGTGGAGAGTGCTTGCTCGAGCGTTGAACCGGGTTCTTAATCCACCATACCCAGTTCGCAAGGCTGGGCGGGGTTGTGAGCAGGCTTTCATTTCATCTTTTCTTATTATTTCTGCTTTTCATCTCATTACAAAAATTCTGCGCTTTTTCTCCATCTGCGCATAAAATCTAGACTGACAACCTGCTTGTTAAATCATGCACCTGCTTTCAGGCGTAAAAACCCTGTTGTAGAGGTCTCAGTCCTCATTTGTTAGACTTACCTGTCTTTATAAATGTAACTTACTCTTTCTTCCTCTCTTTCTCTCTCTGTCTCTCTCTCTCTCTCTTTCTCTCTTTCTCTCTCTCTCTCTCTCTCTCTCTCTCTCTCTCTCTCTCTCTCTCTCTCTCTCTCTCTCTCTCTCTCTCTCTCTCTCTCTCTCTCTCTCTCTCTCTCTCTCTCTCTCTCTCTCTCTCTCTCTCTCTCTCTCTCTCTCTCTCTCTCTCTCTCTCTCTGTCTCTGTCTCTCTCTCTCTCTGTCTCTGTCTGTCTCTGTCTCTCTCTCTCTCTTTTCTCTCTCTCTTTCTCTCTTTTCTCTCTCACTCCCCCTCTCTCTCACTCTCTCTATTCCTTTCTTGATATCGAATGTACTTACTTTTGATCACTACGTATAATTTCTTATTGAGCTTTGTATTATTTATCCGCGCTCTGTTCGTGACGTTCATCCATTTTCCAGTATTATTTTTCTAGTGTTATTGTGAGTGCACACAATGACGTAGGTCACCATTTTGTCAAGGTGCACTTGGTCGCGAGCCTTGATACCTTTTCTTTTGCTCTTTTAGTTTTAGTTCTTCTTGTGAAAAATCAAGTAATTGGTTCAATGTCAAGTGGGCTGTGAGTGTTTGCAAAGGATGTCCGTTTGTCCATGGCAGGCAGGGACCTGAAGGTGTATGAAAGCCTTGATAGGATCCGGGCACTGCGATCAGCAACTGGCACCAGAGTGGGTGCAGTGTCCGCAGCTGCCACATTTGTGCAAGACAGTGTTGCCACGCCATCACCACGGCTTTGCCACCATTGTGGAGAACAGGGCCACTTTAAATGGCATTGCCCGAAGCTATCCCGAGGAGGGCATGTTGCAAAGCACACACACACACACACACACACACACACACACACCTTGGTCCTTGGTAACACTGACATCAAATGGTCACGTGTCCCCTGTGCAGGGGTCGACAGCACTGAGTTCAACATTGGACCCAGAAACGCCGCTCTACTTCCTGGACAGGAAATTAGCACAGCTATGCAGGTCGAAACCACGGGATGACTTACAGCAGCGACCGCAGCCGAGACAATGCGCTCTGCAGCAGAGCAGGGCAACCCGCTGTTTCCGGACCGAGTCTGCCGATGCCACAGCCGAGACCGACGCCACTTCAGCAGCCGAGTTGGAGAGACACTTATGCGAAGCTAGCCCGCCAGCACTCAAGAACCATCTCCCGCACGCATTACATAGTCGGCTGCCGGACTGCTCAGATATGGGCTTCCTCCTCTCGGCCAGGCACTTGTGGCGATTCTTGTATTTCTGGTGGGCGAAAGTACGCTGGCAAACATCGCAGAGCACAGAAGTGTCACGCTGAGCCGATCGCGGCAGTACACACACACACACACACACACACACACACACACACAAACACACACCTCAGACCTCAGACATGCCCATCGCGGAAGTGATGATAGCGAACAGCTATGTTAGACATAGCAACTTGTGCTGAGATTACACCATTCAACAGCTTGCAAGGCTGATGAATTGACCGCCACTATTTTTAGCCTGGTATCCACCACATAGCTGATTGAAGTGTATTTTTTTACACACACACACCTTCCTCCTCCTTCCTTCTTCCACTGCCATGACTGGCTATGTGGCCCCATACGGGGCAGACCAGGAGACGTGTTGTCCACCGGGCGGGGAACGCCATACTCAGCCCGCGCGGGCCGCGCGAACAGCTTTACACTTGTGCCTCGCAATGTCCTGCGGCCGACGAAAACTGCGCGCACAAGTGCCACAGATGAGGGGCTTCGCCACAGGCTCCATGCGGGCCTGGACAATTGCGTCGACAGCATCACGGCAGGTGACTCGCCATCCCTGTCGATCTTGGACGATGTCACCAAGCCGCTCCAGAGGAACGCCAACAGCCATCAAGTCGCACTTCGCGGAGTCCTTCCAGCGCTTACGGGGTCCATGCGGTGGACGTTTGGAGGGTAATGCGCCGTACAGCAGCTGACGAGGGATCCGATCTGGCATGCGGGACACGTGGCCAAGCCATCGAAGTCGGCGGACTCTGACTTTATCCGCGATCTCCTCCATATCGCCCCACATCCTGCGAACCTGGAGAGAGGAGATGTGCTCCTCGATCTGCCGGCCACGATTTATCTTCAGGATGGAA